ATTAGATATATTCTTACTCGCAGTTTTTTTGAATTCATTGCAAGTCTAAGTTATAACTAGTTAGTATTATATAATTTCTTTTTTTTCGTGTACTATACATACATAGTTAAAGTAAAAAAAATATATAAAATTAACTGTAAAGTTTTCAGCATAAATAATAGGTAATCACAATTGCTAAAATTTGGCATAAATGCTATCATTATATTTTTTCGGAATTTTAAAAATTTGTATCATATCGATATTAGTTTGGGACTTAATTACGGCATATGTCCCAAACTAGTTTTGCCAATTTGGGATACGGCAAGTCCCGAAACTAATAGGTTTGGGTCGCATCACTAGTCGCCCTGGCTAATTCCATAATATCAACGATCATACCGAAATCAAAAGCTTATGTACCGAGATTAAAAACTTATCGAATTCGGCAAAATTAATTTCGAGAACAGCTGTAACAATTAAATCCTGATCTAATGACTAAATCCATTAAATCCGGAACCAGGTATTAAGGTGTGCGCACAGTGAAAAATGATTAAAAGATCATGTGAGGAAGGAACAACTTTTGTGAAAGATCTACAGGCGTTGTATAAATACAATTGTAAGTAATTAACCAATCAGAAGAAGTTATCCTATGCTTTAGACGACCCCATAAAATTTATATCTTTGTATATACATCCATGTAAACAAGCAAAATGTTTTTTATCGTAAGCAAGCATTTGTAAAAGTTCTGATCCTGAGTTGATTTGATTCCTTTATTTAACCAGTGTAAACTTTAATATTATTCAAGAAAAAGTTAACCCACACAATCCAACTTCATCCCTCTTACTTTACTCAAAACTATCAAACATTTCTTGCCGAGAAATTATATGCAGATGTGGAAGGCACCTGCACTGGAAGATACGGTTACATCATTGCTGTGCTAGATAGTATGGAATCTCTGGATATTTCGAAGGGAAAAGTTATACCGTCCATTGGCTTGGCAGAATTTGAAGTGAAATATAGAGCTGTTGTATTTAAACCTTTTAAAGGAGAAGTTGTAGATGGTGTAGTAAGTCAAGTCAATAAGGTAAGGGATATTGTCGAGGTAATAGATATCATTCTATTTATTTTTTCTTTTATTAAACACTATATTTCATATTAGATGGGATTTTTTGCTGATGTTGGTCCGTTACAAGTATTCGTTTCCAGCCATGTAGGTTTCAATTCCATCATGCCATATCCATTAATAATACATGGAGTTGAGTCAATAGAAACCAAACAAATATTTTTTAGTAAGTTTTTTTAAAACTTTAAACAAGAATAACTTAACAAATATTTAATTAAATTTATTAAAGATTTTTTAAACTTAATTCTACAAGTTTATAAATTTTTTTTTAAATTTGATTAAATTTTTGTTAAGTTATTCTTGCTCAAAGTTGCAAAAAATTTGCTTGATTTCTATTGACTCACCTCCACATTCAATTCAAGCGACAATAAATGTAATTAATATAATCTGGTGTGCAGTTAATCCCTTCAGATCTAAAATTTGATGCCTCAAAAAATCCTCCAGCATATCATGCTGAGGATGGTTCAGTATGTATCTTTGCAGATATATTATAGAATCATCTTAATGATATGGTATTGATGTTTTTTTCAGTCAATTGAAAAAGGGTATCATGTCAGAATAAAAATTGTTGGGACAAGGTTCGATGCCACCGACATCGTAAGTATTTGAAGGAATTAAAATTAATACATTATTTAAATATGATTAACCTTTAATTATCGTAAATTTTATATGTAGTTTGCGATTGGAACCATCAAAGATGATTTCTGTGGAGTCCAATTACCTTAACGATATCTTCGAAAGTAGTGTCTTCACAATGGTAAGTCTTATAATGCCAAATGCTAGGTAACCAGTTATATTGCTGCGTATCGCGTCTTTTGTATTTGATTATTTTTCCTGTGCAAGAATAAATAAATAAGCAACTTGACGAATTGTTGAGCTATGAATCATAATGATTTTATATCTTCAATTTTCGTGATTTGTAATATGTAATGGCAAAAGTAATGTTAGACTTCATAGTCAGACATTCGTATTGACTAGTGTAAATCAATTGCTCGGGTAACTTATTTATACATTTTTGAGAATGTAACGTTTTACTAACAAATACTACCAATATGTGTTAACGTTATGTAAAAATAATCAAAAATTTGGAGAATTTTACTTAGAAGTAAATATTTTACTGCTTATTACTTGTTATTATATTAAGTATAAGATATTGGTCATGCAACGATTAATATCATGAAATTTGTTTTGTCGGAGCAAATGATTGGCTGACATGTGCCGCGTAGCGGCACGTTTCAGCCAATCGTTTGCCCCAACAGAACAAATTTTATGATATTTATCATCGCATGATCCAATATCGATGTTATCGTGCAATTATGATCATGATTTACGAGTCGTGGTTGGCTAACTGAGTTTTAATTTGGGATTGTTGTGCTTACGTAATAACGTACAAAAAATAACAAGAAGAAAAAAATCTATGATCATAAGAGTTTGCACGATAACTGTATATAAGTGTTAAATATTTGAAATTGTTAATTGAAAAAGATTAAAAAATCAAGATGTAAGTTATTTATAATAAAATGTTTAATTTAGTATGTTAAAAGTAGAATTTAATATTTTTATATTGTATTTTTTTTCATTTTGACAGCCTTGCTGTAAATTTTTATTAAGATTCTTGTGCATAATTTATATACATTTTAACTTAAGATTTCTGGTTTAATATTTTCTGGTTGCTTTTATGAGTGTTTAGTAATGGTTTATCATACCAGATAAGGATTTTATCTTTGTTCAGAGGTTGTATCAAACTAGTCAAATAAGGTTATATATAAATGATTTTGATTTATTACATATAAAATTTGTTATTAAGTCATGTTTCTTGAATTTTTTTATTTTTTATTTCTTTTTTTTTCAATTTGCTTTAACTATAGTTTGGTTTTTTTCTATTTTATTAGAATTTTTCTTATAACTAGTTGAAAATATTTTTCAATTACTAATTGTTCTCTAGTAATTTTTTTTTAGTTTTTGGTTTTTATGTTAATTCTTACCTTCTTTTTTTATAATATAAAAGTTTTGTATCATCTTTTTCATATATCTTTGTAAAAACTATTTTAAATTATATTAATTATTGGATTTTATAATTTATTGCATATGCAATATTTTGCACCTCTAGATCACATAACTAAATTTATAAGAAAATTTTATTTTCACTTAAGTTAAAGTCATCTAATAGACTATAATAACATTTGCATGACTAAAATTAATAGTATTAATAGGCTCTAACAAAAAAATTTATTGTAAAATTTTGTATATACTAATGTTTAGATAAAATTCCAAGTCTTACTCTAATCCTAAAGCATATACTAATACATAGATAAATTCTAGGTTTTGCCTTAACTCTAAAGTAAATGAAAATTTATTTAATATTTCAGGTGATTTTAACTCAGATAAAATAGAAATTCCCAACTTTATAATATATTGACTATATATTTTGGTCAGTACACTACGAATCTTACAAATTAAAATTAGACTTTACAAGCTTATTCTAAGAAATATGATATTAACTATTATATAATAGAATTGTTAATTTTTTTAGAATTAACTACACAATTAAAATCCAACAGGTTGATCAAATTTTGAATCAAAATAGATATGAATTAATAAATTTTTCATAATACATTAGCCTATTTACTAAGTAAAAATTGTTTGTTGCTAATTTTGTTAAATATAGTTTGTTAGTATTACTACTTACTGCTGGTCTAGTTTCAGTCTATTTTGACTCTAAATTTTGATTTATTTGCTGAATTTAGTTGCATGATTAACTATTCAAATTGATAATGCATATGTAGTTACTCAAAAATCATAAAAATTATTGTTATTCTAAAAAAAGATTTACTAAAGTATAGTAAAGAATATAAAAAAGCTAATATTATACTAGCTTTAATGTTTTATCCTTTTTTAGTTAGTATCACTTATAAGCAATATTCTATGAATACTTAAACAATAAATTAAACAAAGCTTAAAAATTAACATATTTATAATAATATATATAAATTTGATCTATGCTAAATATATATAATATATAATTTCAATACTGCAGTACTGTATAATTTAAATTTACTGATTCTTAACTTTTTTAGAGCATGTTGCAACATTATGATCTACCTTCTTGCAGTAACTACAATAATTCTGTTCACGTCTTCTCTTTCTATCAAGTGATATACCTTGTTTGTTATTTTGGTAATTGAATAATTTTGGTCATCTTTTAGTAGTAAATTTTTTTAGGTTTCTAAATTTGATATTTGAAAGAGTATTCTTTTCATTTGACTCTTCATTTTTTGAATTATTTACTTACTGCTGAATTTTCTGTTTATGAAGATTTATACTAGCCAAATATGTTTTAACTATTTTAATAAACTTATAATCCTAATATAAAAGACATTTATTAATTACAGTATGAACTAATCTTCATAATTATTTATAAAATAGTTGTTCATTTATAAATCCAGAATTTTGTATAGATTGCTTATTATTATTATTATTATTATTAAAAGGTTGAAGCCATTTAAAGTACTAATTTTTATTACTTATTTCCTGATTTACACTAGAATCTGCAATACTATCTACAAACTGTTGTTCATAATAATCAGGTTCTATCATTACATTATTTTGATGCATTTTAGAAATCTATTGCATATTAATAAGTTATATGCTAAAACATATTACTTTTGTAATATTTATAAGGTAAAAATAATGCCTACAAACCAGACCTTATTTTTGTTATATTAGACAAATACAACTATATAATCTATTGGTAAGACAAAAAACTACATGATTTATATTTTGACTTGCAACTCTAGAAAGTTTTCAAACCTTTTTAATTTTAATACAATCTAAGTATTGAAAAAGGAATTGTATATATAAAAGTATACTATCTGGTTCATTTTTGAAATTATTACTTTCAGATAACTTATTTATAAGCATGTTTTGAATTCCTTTAATATTAAAATAAAATATAATATATAGTTTCTTTTATTTGATCGATTAAAAACTGTATTATATTTGGCTGCAAATAATAACAAATAACTAATTCAATTTGTAGAAAAACTGTTATTGTATTAATTATAAAAAGAACATCTCTGATTAAATCTTCATATTACTTTTGTTTTATGCTATCTTTAATACTATCTATTAAAACCCTTCCAAACTCATAAAGAAAAGTATTACTACTTTCAATAATATATTTAAAACATGCATTTTGGCTCTCTACAAATGATATAGATTCAATACCAAGTGTAAACAATGTAGTTGTAAATCCATGGGCTTATGATTTATACCTATCATATAAATAATTTTGAAAGTATGTAAATATAGCTAGGTAATTACTTGTTATTTTATTTCAATAATAATAAAAAACATCAGGTGTATTAGTATTACAATATATCTAAAAAGAAGAATAAAAATTACTAAATGATACATTAAGTTTTCTATATAGCATTTTTTTAATATTTTCTTTTAAGTGCCATATATAGAGAATATGATATATTGTAGGGTATTTAGTCATTATCGTACTGTTATAGAATGAATTTTATTATTATATTTTAGTATAGTTTCATGAATGTATATTTTATTATTTATTAGCATT